CAAACCTAAATTCACAACAAATACGGATACTTAAATAGCTGATTCATAAGCACCAATTCAGCCTCAAAATAACATATCCCGATTAAAAATCTCATACCCACAACCTCTGAGCATTAACCAAAGTAAGGCAAAGATTGGCATATAAATCATGCTTTCCAAAGGCTCAAAACTTCACTAACACTAGACATGCTTTTAAACTGAACTTAGCATACAATAATACATCAAAACTCGGCCCTAAATAATGCTAAGGTTCGGCCAAAAGGGTACCTTTCCCGGAACTTAAGAAAATGGAATAAAATAGTGCTCGGTTTGCTGCTGCCCGGCGCTCGTTTCGGTCACGTGCTGCTATTGCCGACCTAATTTTAACAGTTCTTGAATGCTGCTTGCTGCTCCTTGCCGGAACCGATTGCTCTCGGTACGCCAGAAAACGAAGTTGTCTCAGCAGCTGGGCAAAGCTGCTTCAGGCCAGGTGCTGCTCGACTTGCTTCTGTCACGGAGGAGCTCGAGTCTGACTCGCCGGCAACTGGTGGCTCTCCGGAGCTGTTCCTCTGTCCGTCCAGTGGTCCTCGGTTCGCCGTAAAAGGCTGCTGCTCGCCGGACGGAGGTTGGCTGTCCTCGCTACTCTCAGTACGGCGCCGTCTCCTTAGTCCCAGCTCGCCGGGAATCTGATGGCTCGCCTCGCCCGAAGCTTGGGTTTTGGCTGCGACTAAAAAGGGCCTGCTTGGAATTTACTGCGCGATTTGGAGATGCTTGGAGAATCGAAGAGAGCTAAAATGGGATATTTTGCTGGGAACAAAAATGGAGATGGCGGCAGATTGGAGGGCCACTTAAATAGGTGGAAAACTAGGGATTGAAGGGGAGGGAGATGCGTGGGTGAGCTCGCCGAAAAGAGGGGGTTCCGTTAGGGTTTCGTGGAGCTGGTGGTTGTTAAAACTTGAGAGAACTCGGAGATGATGAGCAGGGGTGTTAGACTACATTTTTGGGAGCTTGAAGTGGGCTTCTTGGGCTTGAAGTGTTTGGTTAGGAATAAATTGGACCACATAAAATTAGACAAATACACTTAGGAATATTTGGGCCGAACATTAGGTGATAGGATTGGGCCCAATTAAATACTTAGCATAAAATAGGCTCATTTAGAAAATTTTAACGACTTACTTGAGCAAAAATAAGAACATAAGGGATTTAGGCACTCAAGTAAGCACATAAATACACTTAAGAAAATAGTTCCATGAAGCACAAATATTAACTTAGCCAAACAATCCAATTAAACACAAAAATACACTTAAAAAATGAAATAATCACTTAGGTACAAAATCAAATAATCACATAAGCAAATAATCAAATAATCACGTAGGCAAATAGTCAAATAATCACTTATGTAAATAATCAAATAATCACTTAAGCAAATAAATCACAAAACACACTTAACATTTAGGACAATTGAATTAAACAAGGATAAGTAATAAGAAATAAACGACAAGATTTAAACTTAGTCGAGCGATGCCAATGCTACGATTTAATAAAATAAAACGGGGCGTCACATCGGTGCTCAGTTTGTGCTCCGAGAAGGGATGCCCCCTCGAGCTGCCCCCCTTCCTCCCTTCTACTTTGGCTTACAGGTCGCGAACTTGAGCCATTAGCTATTCCAAAGTGTCATTCTTGGTCTGCGGATTGATGGTTTTGACTGAAGACTCCTCGTCCTCTCCTCTTATGTTATGTTGCTCATTCGATTGGGCATGTTGCTCCTGCTTAAGTAGAGGTACTTGCTCCTGTTGAGGTGGCAGTTCAAGTCGAGCTGTCACGACTTTCGCTATCATCCTCCGTAGTTCACCTAGAGTGACGGTCGTCATCTGATCCTCAGGTTGAGGTTGTGTCTGGGCTCCTTCTCGTCCTAGCATTCCTTCCAGCTACATCCCAGTACCTCGAGATGTCTCCCTCAACTCTCGTTCCCCGACTCCAGGTAATTGGGTCTCCTCTCCTCTACGCAAATCAGGCGGCGTATGCCCCCACAAACGGTGGTATTGCCAGTATAGAAATCACATGTTTAAGGCTAGAAACCTCTAGAGGTCTCCTATTTGTCCATGTCCCTCTGAAATCTTCACTCAAATTCCTCTGTATACTCTCTTTCTCAGCCATGTCAGACAATCGGATGCTGCAAGTTTTCTAGTGAGAGGGATTACTTTTTTCATTTTGTATACAATTTTTTGTTCCCATTATTTTTTCAAGAAATAATTAAATAATAAATATCAACTATTAATACACATTTTTAACAAAATTCAATCTTTTATCAACTGTTATTTTTTTGCCATTTTTTCAGCTAACTATTGTAGCATAATATTGCATTTCACATTAATTAAAATATAAATTTATTTTTTAAATACAATATTTGTTATATAATAGTTATACTAGTTACTATTAAATTAACTAATTATAACTCACACTAGATTGTATATAAAAATTACATAAGTATAAAAATATATATTGTAAAAGCTCAAAATTGTTTATTTAAAACCAATACTATCTTTTTCATGTGATTAGTCCTTTTTTAATAAATTAGGTAATTGATTTTAACGGCATAGCCACACCCTTTAAAATCGCATAAATAATAATAATAATAATAATAATAATAATAATAATAATAATAATGTTTCAAATAATTATTGGGTCAAATTCTCTCTAAACTACAACAAAGTTACATTATTCATTACATGTCATGCAATCAATATAATGATTCATCTGTAATTAAATAATTTTATATTGTTAACTTTTACGAATGACATTAAAAAATATGATAAGTTTTAATTTTAAGTATTATATACATAAATAACTTTACAACAATTTATTATTTATCTACATTTGTGCATGTGCACATGATCGATTACTAGTACATTATTAACTGCATGTGGATAGAAGGAATTCAATTGTGATAGAAAGTAAATTTCAAATGCTTGCATCCTCACAATCTTACAAGAGATCAACTCACAGGCTGCAGTTTGTGGCATACATTGTCTTGTTACAGTTTTGTACAAGGATTATACTTGGTGTTCATGGAAAGTTCAGTCCATATGACCAACTGCAGTCACAAATTAAGGTGTTATGAACTTTGGAAAATCCTTCAGTCAATACCCAAGCTTGAATATGGTTCAAATCCACCCTGAAAATTAAGAATAAAAGTGATTCTCCCTTGCAACAAAGCCAAACAGTACTGCCCGAATGGAATATTTAGAAAGAATAAACCTTGGGGAACGGTTAAATCCAAGAAGTCATCAGGATTAGAAGGGCTAAATAAAAATGAAATTCAGATAAAAACTTACAGCACAGTCATCATGAACACGCCATATAGTTTCGCCCAACAGGTTTGCCACAGATAATATTGTAAGTTGTGGAAAATAGTTCTGCTCTGCCACTGGAATGGTGTTTGTTATGATTACCTCTTGAAATAGTCCGCTTGACAGTCTCTCTACTGCAGGAGGACTGCAAGTTTGCAACCCAAGGAATGCAAAACTAAATTCATTAAAGATAGGGACCTATGATCAAGTACTTATTCATGGAGTAAATAACGCATCATAGTTACTGAAGATAGGCAGAACAGAACTTATTATCACACTGAAAAGAGCAAAATAACTTCACATTCGAAGTAGGTAGAAATTACAATTGCTATAGCAGTGCACCATAATTTCAGTTCGGTTGAGCATTCCGGATTAAATCATAATACCCTGGTGAATCCCCTTGGTTGGAAAATAGATATTATCTAGTGGTACCTGAAAACAGCATGAGTGCTGCAAGCATAAACCTCCCTAGCTCCTTCTTGATGTAATAGAGCAGCTCCTTTTGCAATGGTTCCTGCAAAAGATGCGCTATTAGCTTCATGTCTACCCGTGTGCATAATGAACAAGATGTGACATAAATGACACTAAATGAACAAGTCACTAGGGAAGGCAGACACGTAATACTGAGTCCACAAACCCAAATCAATATCTTAGATCATAAAAGACCACAGAGTACTCAAAGGTGCAAAATGGTAGTATATTACATCATAGTCTTGTCCATAATACTTTAACTACTGAGTTATGGTATCTTCACCTAACTCCTAGAGGCGTCCTCCTTCAGTATAGATAAATACTCCATTAGGAATAAAATTTTAACATCTCAGAGCCGCAGCTTGAATTCTTATAATTATATTCTTTATTCATATTATATCTTGCTTGAGCATGGTCTATTGAGTTACACTTTATATTTGGTTCAACTAAATTGTATATTAATGTCAGCAGACTGAGAAGGAGAAAGAGTTTGGATCTTGAATGATTTACAACCTGCGGTATCAATCATGTCATCCACCATCACGGCCACTTTTCCCCGAACATCACCAATCAAATTCATCACCTGCAATAATTGAACAAGATGTCAACTCTGTTAGTGTCTTAACAGACTCAGGAAACAAGGACATGTAACACAGAATCTTTAAAACTGAGGCCTAAATTGACTCTATATTCTTATGTTTGTACTAACAAAATTTACAGTTCATTCATTTCCCTCATCTTTCTGCAAATACGTAAGTGTAATCAATACACTCAAGAACCATCAGCATGAGGTTCTTTAAGAAATGCATAGACTCTCAAAGGAATTGACCTCAGCAACATTGTGTCCTTGACGCCTTTTATCCACAATGGCCAGAGGAGCATCAGATAACTTTTTGGCAAAAGCTCTTGCTCTAGCAACCCCACCAACATCAGGTGAGACCACGACCAAATCATCTGTTCTGATTGTCTTGCTGGCTAGATAATCAAGTATGACGGGCTGCAAAAGAAGTCAATAATCATTGTAATACTTACATGAATTACCAAGAACTTGATGTGATTTATAGAGATGCAATGTAATGAGAATGCCCTCTTTGTGGAAATAAGATTCCAATGAAAACTTCCAAATCAACAGATACTTTATTTACTTTAATTGTATAATATGTTGCTTTACGATATACTTTAAATAGTTTAATAATTTTCTGGCTAATTGTTGTGCTGATGCTCATGTAATGAGTTAACTGTACTAGCATAATAGCATGTTATTTTTATTAAAGCAAATGTTTAGGGAGGTTCCTTTACCTGGCCATGCACATGGTCCACCGGAATGTCAAAATATCCCATGGATTGTCCAGAATGGAGGTCACACACTAGAACCCTGTCAGCTCCGGCTTCAGTAATCAAATTCGCCACGAGTTTGGCCGCAATCGATTCACGCCCTTGAGTCTGAATCAATACATATTGATAATGAGATCAAATATGAAGAAAGCAAAATGATTCACTGTGATAAGCCACTTACACGTGGCAATAGAGTATTTATTATATTCATGCATATATATGAGTATGTGATGACTAGGCTGTCATCAACTCCATACTGCCTTTTGAAATGAAAATTTCTGATATCTAATACCAATTTTAGATTTTACCTTTCGATCAGCCCGGGCATATCCAAAATAAGGAATTACAGCAGTGATATTTTTGGCTGATGCCCGACGGCAAGCGTCAATCATTATCAAAAGCTCCATAAGATTCTCATTTGCTGGAGGACATGTAGGTTGCACAAGATACACATCACATCCTCGAACACTCTCTTGTAACTGAACATAAATTTCTCCATCAGCAAAATGTTTGATCTTAATCTTTCCAAGCTCCAGACCCATATAGCAAGCAATTTCCTGCATCATGAATCTCAATAAATAGCATGTATTAACAAATACATAAAAGGAAAGAAGGAAAGAAGGAGACTTGAATGTCATAATGATAACATATATACCACATTATCAAAATAAAAGTGGAAACAAGTAACAACAATAAAAATTTGTCAAACCATTTTCCAACGGTAGATAATGATTCGAAAAATGGAAACTAGTTAATAAATATGTAAGTAAACAATTCAAAAATGTCATGGTCTTGATTCTATGAAGAAATGATGAGTACAATCTCAAACTCAAGTACAGATTCTCCATTTCAATGGAAGGTTTAGCTCCCTTACATTTAAATGTGGCACTTTTAATAAGGAAAAAGAAAGAGAATGGGAAGAATGAGAACCAATTCATCACATTCCTCTTTTGTACAACATGCGAATAGAACATCGGAAAATGATTCCATAAAATAGCGATGCACCTCATAGTTATATTCATAAATATATATATATATATATATATATATATCATTTTTTTCTCGGATTGGTGTTCAAATTAAAATAGAACCTTAATAAAATCCATAACTGCAATAGCATCACATACTAATAAGATAACCATTTTTTACCAACTAAAATTAATTTGCCATGTAAGCAAAAAAGTTCAATATCAAGCGGCAAAAGGAGGATGTAGTGACCTGAGATAGAGAAGGATTGGCAGTGCCGGAGAAAATGCGAAGCCGCGTATCACTTTTCGGAACTGGCGTTCCATCTAAGTAATGGGTGGGGGCCGTCAGGACGGTTGGGAAAGATGCCGCCGCGTGTCTGTTATAATCACGGCCAGCAGTTATTGGTTTCCCGTTGTCCTTGCACTTGATTGACTCCGAAGAGTTGTTACATCGCTGCAAAAGCCAACAATTTCACAACTACGCAATGACCACTACTTGGACACAGTTTAAGAAGGATGCTCACAATCAAGGACTTGGCATGAGAGCTTTTGTGAAGATCCGTTGGGCAGCTTCTGAATAAGGTGAGAGACGCCATTTTTCTCGCTAATCGGCTCAGGCTTCTTTCAGGGGTTAGGGTTTTAGAGCTAATTTCCACTTTTCATTTATTTTTCTTGCTTTGTACAACACTCCTTAATTAATTCTAGGGGCGAGACGGTTCGGTGCAAAACCGCACCGAACAGCAAAAAAATGAAAACCGAAAATATTTATTTATCCAAACCGAACCGCAACTGGTAGAAAAACCGAATCGAAAACCGCACCGAATTTTTCGGTTCGGTCACAGTGGGAGTTGACAAACCATCGCCCTTTCCTGTCAGCCATCAGCATCAAAGACTGTTTATAAGACCCACCACATAAGTCATAAATAATACATCTAAAGCCAAAACAAAGGTATGATTTTACAATCACAAATCAAATCTAATTAGCCCCGAGTGTACATGGTAATGGTAAAAATAGTTACAGTTGCTACCTGGTTCTCCCGCCAAAAGAACCCGACCCGAACCCTAAGTACTGATAACCCGACCTGTCTCTAACAGACCCACCACCCCCACGACTATCACTAATCTGGCTGTACAACCATTGCAAAAACTGGCTTATTCATGTACATAATCATATATTGGTGGGACTCTAAGATGTAGCACAAACATGCATAAGCTTATATAATATGAAAGATTCCTTGCCGTCATGAAAAAAAAAGCACTTGAAAATGAATAGAATCCTCCATTCAACATATGGGATAAAAATATTCATAAACCAGTTATCTCAAAATAACCAAAATCATCTGGAAGAGAACTTGTAGTATAACATATAAGATTGTTGGAAGAGATATAATATTTAACTCAAGAATTTAAGAAGCTGATCATCCTCGGTTCGCCGTAAAAGGCAGCTGCTCGCCGGACGGAGGTTGGCTGTCCCTCTCAGTATGGCGCCGTCTCCTTAGTCCCAGCTCGCCGGGAATCTGATGGCTCGCCTCGCCAGAAGCTTGGGTTTTAGCCGCGACTAAAAAGGGCCTGCTCGGAATTTACTGCGCGATTTGGTGATGCTTGGAGAATCGAAGAGAGCTAAAATGGGATATTTTGCTGGGAACAAAATGAAGATGGCGGCAGATTGGAGGGCCACTTAAATAGGTGGAAAACTAGGGATTGAAGGGGAGGGAGATGCGTGGGTGAGCTCGCCGAAAAGAGGGGGTTCCGTTAGGGTTTCATGGAGCTGGTGGCTGTTGAAACTTGAGAGTAGGGCTGCACAATCGGTTAAAATCGAACCGAACCAACCGAAAATTCGGTTAACCAAATTTTCGGTTCGACCAATATTAAAACCGAAAACCGAACCGAAAACTACGGTTCGGTTCGGTTTCAAACCGAAAATTTATCGGTTGTTTCGGTTCGGTTATCGGTTGCCGACAAAATGGAGAAATGACAAAAGAAAAAATTACAAATAACAATAGATACAGATTGTCTCGAATAAATCACTATTCACTAAATGCACAACTCTCAGAAATCATCAGAAATTCTGAATCCTATTCAATTCAAGAGCAAGCCCATCAAAAAATTCAAGTTTTTTATTAGTATTACAGTAGGTCACAGAAGCAGATTGGTTCAACATGTCAGTATGTCACAACAATTTGGAAACCCACAAGCCACAACCGTACAGCTCAAATCATAGGCATAAAAATTAACCCAAAAAAATATGAGCTCAAATTGGGTGGGTGCAACCCGTACAATGAATCACGACTCACAGGCCCAAAGAAGAATGAAAGATTCAAAGCCAGAAAAGAAAATTACGAATCCGAGTTGCAGCCCTTACGAGGGGATTTGGGTGGCGAACTCAATTGAGAAGACGAGCGTCACGACGGCCTGCGGGGTGGAGTGTGTGTGGGAGCAGAAACGACCGAGCGAGGCGATGTGGGATCTCAAAATTCCGGCGATATTTTGCGCCGACGCCGAGCAAAGGGAGATGGAGCGGGTGATTTTGTGCACCGTGCGGCGAACGGGCGGAGAAGTGCAGTGCTAGGTAGGGTTTTCTGGAGGATGAGACGATGAGTGTCGATGGAATTGGACTATTGAAGTGATAAATTGGACCTGCTTAGTGCTTTATGGTGGGCGGCCCGTTAACTAATGGCAATTGGATTGAATAATATATACTGGGCCTTTTTGAACTTATATAGCAGAAATAAGAGAAAATTACCCCGTGGACCACCCTTATTTCTTTGATAGACATAATGACGAAAATAAGTTTGTAATGCCTTATTGATGCAACAGTTCCACTAGGACGAAGTTCATTGATACCAAATAAATTAACAATTTTATATTCCACAAACCATTTTATATTTCACAAATTAAATCCTCTTTTTCTCTCTTATCTCTTCACCATTACCTTTTCTTCTTCCTTTCCGATTTCTTGGCATCACACAAAGATACACAGACCACCAAAAATAAAAATTTAGACCGAATTCTTCATTTAATTTCTGATTCGCGAACGACAAACCTCGCCTCATGCAATCAATTGATGAATTATGGCGGTGGCGACTTGGATTTGAGATCGACAACCGGCGGCATAACAGGATGACGGAGGGTTTCATCATCCAACCATAAATAATGAGGCGGCGATTGGAGCCGCGTACTACACCCGATGAAGATTGAAGATCCAACGCATAGTGTTGTTTGATATTACTTATGGACTATGAGTAGTTTACTGTATGCATATTTTATAATGGTAAATTTTCTTTTTATAATATGATGACAAAATCATGGGTGAGTTTCTAGTTTTTTCTTGGTTCTATTAAAGTTTATCTCTCCCATTGCACACTAACTGGTGTATGAAATGAAGACTTGAATGAGTTTATCAGTAGCTTATCGGTAGTTTATCAGTAGTTTATCGGTAGTTTATCAGTAGTTTATCAGTAGCTTATCAGTAGTTTATTTTTCCACACTTTCAATCTCATCATCCTCAACCAAAACCCCATTCCCAAACCCATCCCCATTCTCGATAACACTTCGATTTCTGGTCGAATTCTGAGGTACAAGCCTCAAATCCAGAGAGGGAGGCCGGTCGGTCTGAGGCGGGGTGGCGGATTCGACGGAGGTAGACGGCTGCGATGATCGGGGTGGTGACGCACGCCTCCTACGCTTTCAACTGCTACTGGCACAAGAATAAGGAGATCGAGAGCGGGGAAAAATTAGGATTGACGCGTTGATCATGGAAATTGCGCGTCACGAAAAATCAGGATTGTAGCGGTGGTTTTTGTTTTCATATTTATGGAGATGTTTTAATTTTAAGAAGAAATATAATGAAAAGCACAATTATGTGATGAAAAAATTTGTCTCGTATTACAGGCATTAATGTTACTTACAGACATGTATGCGTCCTTTAGCCTAGAAATAATTACCCCTGGACCACCATTATTTTAGTAATAGCCATAATAACGAATACAAGTTTTTAATTCCTTTTTGATATTAATTGTTTCAGTAATATGACATTAAACTCTTATATTCCACAAACATATTTTTAATTATATTTCACAAATAAAACCCTCCTTTTCTCTTATCTCTTCACCGTTTCCTTTTCTTCTTCCTTCTTGTTGATCGGCATCACACACAAAAATACACAGACCACCATAAATAAAAATTTGGACCCAAATCTTCTTCTAATTACTGATTCTCGCAATGGCACACCTCGCCTCTTGAAAACAATTACAAATTATGGCGCAGTGAATCGAATTTGGGGATCGAAAACCAGTGGTGACGCGGCATGACTTCATCATCCAATCGTAGATAATGAGGCAGCGATTCGGGCCGCGGGTCGACTATCGGGTGTTCTCCGGCGATTGCAGGTCCGACACTACACCCGACGACGAACAGTGAAGCAACCGATGTCGATATGGAAAAGCGGCTGCTCATGAGGGACGCGATGTGGGCGACTATTGTCAAGTCTCGGCGCACGTGTGCGACTATTGTCAAGCTTCAGAGCACAGAAAGTCAGAAACAAGTATCTGATAAGGTTTACTCTCTAAATTCAGATCTGTTTTAGAGCACAAAAAACGACCGATATCGATTTACAGTTTTTTCGTGGCTTTATTGTTGGCAAATTATAATAGTGTTATTCGCTTTACTTATGGATTATGAGTAACTTATTGTATGCATCATTTTATAATAGCATGTATTTTGATAATATGTTGACAAAATCTTGGGTGAATTTCTAGTTTTTTTCTTGGTTTACTCTCTTACAGGCATATTGCACATACGAGTAAGTAGATAGGTTGTACGAAATAAAGATTGGAATAAACTTCTCTTTGTAATGAAATATCAGTAGTTTATTTACAGTTTACGAATGGTATTTTTTATTTTTTATTTTTTATTTTTTTTTCTGAAGTGCCTATGTGAGCTATGTGATTTTGTTTGGTGAAATTGGACGTTGAGTATTTTTATGAATGAACTTCTCCTTCGTGCGCTTTGTACTGGTACATTGTTCGTTTATTTGATGTTTATTTGATGTTTATCTATGATTTTCGTGTGTTAATTTCTTTAAAAAAAAAGTAGTTTTTTAGTGTTATTTTGATGTTTATTTGATGTTTATCTATGATTTTCTTGAAGCTGGGGGCTTGAAAAATCTATGGAAGTTTTTTGAAGTAGTTTTTGGAGTGTTAATTTGATGTTTATCTATGATTTCATTATGATTTTTGATTGAGTTTTTTTTTTTTTAATCTTATCTACCGTTTATTTCAGTTTATTGCTCAATTCTTTTTGCTATTGCAAGAGATGAGGAGACAGAGGAGGGATGACTTCGGGAGTGGTGAGGTCAACGGCATCGAAGAGTGCAACTTGGTGATGGGATAGATGGGGTGGCACTTTGAGAATACCCATAGCTCGATGTTAGACAGTGCTGGAAGGGACAATTACGGGGTCCTGCATGATGTCTCATGATGTCTAATCAGACCAGGAACACGAAGTACGGGGGGACGTCAATTTCGAACGTTGCTGGAGATGGATTGAAGGCTATGTTCTGCTTATTTGTGAATATGTGTTTTTGGTTAAGGACTTAAGATTGGCACAGCAGCCTTGGGACAGGCTATTGATTTAGAGACTGGTTATAAAAATAATCGATTCCGACTTCGGACTTGACCTTTTTTAGGTTTATTGTTGTTTATGTCCACAAATGGTTTGTGTTAGATTCTATGTTTTGGAGAAAACATTTTTCAAATGTTCGACTTAATTATTTTGTGGAAGAATTATATGTTTATTTGATGTTACCATACAACAAAGGAGCAGTTGTTTTTTGGTTAATTATTGTATTTTTTGTTTTGAATATTTCTTATGATTATTTATATCGATTGTTTTTGTTTCATTTTTATTTGTAGGTCTGTTGTACTTTATATTTTTAGGTGCTACTTTTGTGAGGGAAATGTTTAGTTTTTGGGTGTATAAGAATAATAATTTTATAACTATAATAAATAGTAAATAATCTCTAAATAATTTATAGTATGTATTCTGAAAATAAATATATAAAAATTTACTTTTTCGTGTGTATACGAGTATTAATTTTAAAACTGTAATAAACTGAAAATAAAATATATAAATTTAAATTTACAGTACTCTTGTAATGGTTTATATAAACTGAAATTAAACCTATAATAAACCAAAAATAAATTAAATGTAAATTTACAGTAGAAAAATAGATTTATAAACCCAAAATAAACTAAAAATAAACTTGATATATTTATGCAAGTAAAGGCCAATAAAATTTTGTATCTTTACTCACACACAAATATTGTACTACTGCTACTAAGATCCACAAGAGGAAAAAAAAAAGTTGTCTTTTCTGGTGACATAAAACCATCCCAACTCCAGGTACCATTTTTTTTTCCTACTCCAAAATTCGCAAACTTTGCTCGAAAAAAGAAAAAGAAAAAAAAAACTAGAACTACTCCAACATTCACAAATTTTGCTCGAAAAAGGGGAAAAAAAAACTGAAAAAATAGTGAAAATGGTGCGGCTAATTTCTGTCTTCTGTCTTCTCCCGCTGTACCACAAAATTCGGTGAACGGCCCGGATGCTGCATCCGACATATCATCAGCATTCCCAAAATCCTCAAAACTGGTTGCAATAATTCCCATGGCAGAGGAATTCCCAAAGTATCAGTACATAGTAAATACTGACCATAAAATTAAACAGAAAAAAAAAAAAGAAAAAAAAAAGAAATGACACTGACCATAAACATGAAATTCTTGATGGTAACCTTTCATTGCATAACATCAACGTGCGTCGATTCCGCTTAAATTAATTAGGATGGAAAGAATTAGTTTTCATTCCTTTTTGAAGCAATAGATTCCTTTTGGGAATATTATTAAAATAGATTGTGTGAAGATATGAAAAAAACTTTGCTTTCGTAGATATGGTACTTCTTAAAATATATCTCGTCTGCGTGTACTTTAGCCAAAATGAAAAGTAAAGCAGGAAAAGAGAAAATTAGGCGGCCCAAGTGGCCCAAAAGTTGGTCTCAGCCCCTCTTTCCAAACCGGCAAAATTTCATAACTGTCCTACATAGGAAAAAAAATGTCATGGAAGAAGTTGACGGTAAGGATTTCCATAAATGATAGAATCCTAAATTAACTGTCAACTATTAAAGGAAAACGTAAATTAAAAACAATTAAAATTTTGAACAAAAACAAAACAATTTAAATTTTAAATGTAAATAAAATTGTCGTCAGTTATAAATTGTTGCATCAAAAAATAAAAAATAAAAATGAAAAAAGGAAACCGAAACGATGAAGCAACACGTCTATATAAGTGTCAGTTTCTTCCATGACATTTGCCTTTTATTACAGTTAAGAATTTTCGCCAAAGTATAACTGTTGAATAGACAAACCAAACCCCAAGGTAATTTAGTACAAATCCATCGAAGGAGCATTCAGTACAAAGTCAGAGTAAAGCCATAGCAAGGTAATTGAATAAGTAGTATAATTTATATATGTAATGAATTCGAACATTGACATATTGATGGACTGCAAATTGATGTTAATTTTTGGTTTTTTTTTTTTCTGTNTATAGGCAAAAAATATAATTACATTTAGTGTAATAAAAAATATTAATTTATATCCAAGTCTAACTCCAAAGCATGATTTTTTGCCAAATAGGATTTCGAAGCATGAGAGTTTATCACGTATGCTCAGCGCATTCTGAAATTATATATAGAGGGGATTGGCGAAAAGCAAAATAGAAATGAACATTAAATTTTAAAACCTCAAAGAATATTCCTTGTTCTCACCAAAATCCAAATATATGCATTAAGCCGTGTTTGGTCTTCGTCTTAAAAATTAGTTTTCAGAACACTAGCTGAGATAGACCCATTTGGAATGGAATTTTATGTCTTGTGTTTGTTCTGTTATTTCCATTAATTTTTTTATTTGAATTTCAAATGATTGACCGCTACTTTTCAAAAGTTTTTAAAAAAGTTACTAATAAAAGTAAAAGTAAAATTTTTAGGCGGAATTTTAGTTACTATTTCAGGTAAATACAAACTTTTTTATATAGACTAGTGCAGATCCCGTGCGATGCACGTGTTTTAAGTTTATTTATCCAATCTTATTATTATATTCGTGAATAAAAGTAATTAAATAAATAGAATAAAGAAAACTATTATATATTACAAAAACCTCCTTGTAGACAATATTTTTTGCCTTGTAAGCATACCATCCTCCCCACAAACTAATATTTCTAAGCCCTTTCGATTAGTGACACTAGAAACAGCTCCATACAACTGACAGTGACTGAACACACTACAAGAAATTTTAGAAAACATGACGATAAAATTCGTCATCTAAACCTCATTTTTCGTCACAAATAAATTGATGACGAAATTTTATCGTCACAGAGATCGTCACCGTAGCCGCGTCATATTAGGTCTAGGTGACGAATTTCGTACTTGTCACCAAATGTTTCACTTTTAATGACGATTATATGTATCGTCATGTTATTTGGTAATCTTTCATGACGATAATTTCGTCACATTTATTATGATAATTTTGTCATTTAAATGATTATTTTGTCATAATAACACAAGTTTTAAATGACGAAAACTTAACTTTGTCATCTAAATATTATTTTTTAGTGACGAATTTTATTATTTTATCGAATTTTTAAAATTGCAGTGACGAATATCTTTGTGGCGTTTTCGTTATAAAAATCGTCATATTTCATATAATTCATCATGAAAGATTATTTTATAATTACAAAATATTGATCGTCACAGAAAAAATGTTAAATATGACAATAACAAAAATGTCACAAAAAATAAAAATAGTGACGAAATATTTATTGTCTCCAAAAACATACAAAAGTGACGAATTCTTTTGTCAGAAAATTATTAGCTCTATGATTACGAAAAAAAAAAGATTGTCATCAATAACTTGAGATATAATGACAACATAAGTTGTCATGAAAAGATAAATATTCAGTGACAAAATTTATCGTCAGTTTAATATTTTGTATGGTGACAAATCCAAACAAATACATCACAATTGCATGTTGTCACAAAAAAATATTTTTGATGACAATTTAAAATTTGTCAATATTACAAATATAACAATTATTATTAATTATAGATATTTAGTGATAAGTTCATTTGTCATGAAATATATAGTACATTGACAAAATCTATCATCACTTGAAACAATTATGTCATGAAAAAGAAAATACAGTGATAATTTCATCACTAAACGTTCATAGCAGCATTTATCATATTAAGCACATTTAATTAATAAAATTATAATTAATATATGATGGTACTATGTTCTAGATGATAAATTAGAAAAAATAACAATAATAGTATGTTTGCTAATTAAAAACCATAAATAAACGAACTAACAATCTCAAAATGTTCCAAACAAAAATAAGAAAAGCCTAAATACTTTAATAAAAAGTATAGCAAATCCCATTATATCGCATTTCTAAGTTGACATATCTCTGATAGAGTGTCTTGAAAATATCAACCTCGAAATATTAGCCTCGGGACCTTCTTGCTAACATATTACTATATACATCGTTTATATTTGTATATTCTATTTCTCATCGTATATCAATATCTTGTGTCGTCTTTTCTATATGTAACTTGAGAAGCAACAATAGAGTTCCTAAGACATCTAACACATGATATTTGAAAAAATAATTATATGAATCGTCATGCTTTTTTAAAATATATATATATTCAATAAATATGAGATATTTAATATTCGCATTAAAATTTGTACACAAAAATAGCTACCAAGAATTCATATAATATGAGATTTTTTCTAAACTGTATAAAATTTTGTAGTTAGATACATATGGACAAAAAAAATTATCAATTAAGTTGAACAATAAAAAAAACACAAAAATTAATTTCCGAAATTAACATTCTTTACTAAATAAATACGAACTTTTAGTTGTGATAATAAAATATGAGATTTGTAGACAGATAAATATGAATAAAAAATATTTAATAATTAAGTTCGCATGACTTTTTCGAAAGATTTAAAAAAAAAAATCAAACATTTTATTTGTTAAATGATTGATCGGATTTGTTGGAAGCATTCAAGATTCTTTCTAATTATTGACCATATTTACCCATAGAATTTAATGAAATCATTACCCATATTTCTAGGATATAAGATTTACAAAAAAAAAGAAAAAGAAAAAAAAAAGAAAAAACTTTTAATGAAATCATTACCCATAGTAGTAACTATAAAAAAAAATGAAGGATATCTTTTAATTATATGTGAGAAATATATTTCCATTTGCGTAAAATAAATAAAAACAATTCTATGTACTATAAATCAGAGCATCTCCAATGCAACTTTTGACATTATAAAAAGTCATCCATATCATCAACTTTTGAAAGTGTGTCTCAATTTTTTTCTCCAATGCATCTTGTCATAAACTCTTTCATGATGAGGTGGATGTCATTTAATGTTGACAATGTTGAGCACACTTTCTAATATCTAACACCATGTTAAACATGATGACTCATCAATTTACTTTATATTTGTTTTAATTTTTTATTTTTTTTATATCAATGAATTATTTAATTGGTCCACCTATACAAATAACTTCTTATCAAATTGATGCATTGGAGATACTAGTTTTATTGAAATTTTTAGTCTTTTAACATTATTCCAATGTGGATTAACATTACAATCACTAATTGACATGTGTTAAAAATAATGGTCTTTCACACTTATAGCATTGGAGATGCTCTCATACACGCCATCCTTAATATTTGTTAGTTTCTATTTATTGTTAGAATATATTTTTTTGTGCAATAAAGATGCTATCCATTTAAATGATTATATATTATATTATGGTTAAACAAATCATGGTATATATTTAAGCACGTTAATCTGACAAATGAATATATTTTTTTGGAAAAAAGTATCCGAATTTAAAGAAATAATTGCCATGTTTATAGGAAGTGAGTTTTATACAATATCTTTCTCAAATAATAATTATCTTGAATTTGAATTTGAATTTCCAAAGTGGCCGCCTTTTTTCTAACAAAAATACTAATAATAGTAAAATATGAAATTTTGAGCGGGAATTGTCATTCTATTTATATATTTTTTCGTATTGCTATTATATATTAATAGATGTTTATTTTTGGTTATGTGATATCAATAATTTGAGATTATGTTTAAAAACAATTAAAGTTAGGTATTCAATTTCCACCTAATATAAATTTATATTTTATTTACAAATATAAATTAATGGATATGATTATAGATTAATTGCCCCAAAAATAATTATTTGTAAATAAAAAATATGTGAAATTTAAAATAATTCCTGAAACGCATAGATGGAAAATTTTCATAACTATGATTATTTTAGAAGTTTTAAAAAGTATTTTTTTTAATGATATTTTGATAATAATGCCCCTTAAGCGTCTAAAAAGGCTTAGTTGTAATTTCATCTAATTTTTCTTCCTTTTTTTCATGAAGGTTGCTGTAAATTATAACTTATTTCATTTTATCTTATTTTTTATTTGTCGTTTTTAAAATTCATTTATATTATTTTTTTATTGTTATTTATTTCAATTTTATTGATCTTACTTTTTTATTATTGTAATGATTTTTATTTTTTAAATATATATTAATTACTAACTAAAAGCACATAAAATTAATA